TCTATCTATCTATCTATCTATCTATCTATCTATCTATCTATCTATCTATCTATCTATCTATCTATCTATCTATCTATCTATCTATCTATCTATCTATCTATCTATCTATCTATCTATCTTATCTATCTTATCTATCTATCTATCTTATCTATCTATCTATCTATCTGGCCACCTAAGCAACCCTTTGAAGAATTTTTGTCAGCCTATTGCAACCACGTCTCTTCTAGATATGTTGGGTTATGACGTAGTAGTGGGGAACTATGTGTTGAGGGTTCCCTTGAGGTGGCCCAATGCCATTCCATGGCCTCAGCCGAACCGGGCCGTGGAAATAGATCTCCCACCCCACCCCCGCATGGACTCCTCCGATGCCCCCCACAGCCCCTTCACGCATGTATGTGAATGTGTGCACGGCCATGAGCACCCCTGCCCCGTCATACATGCGCACGAGCATGGGGGTGACCCGCCCCCTGCACATGGACCCTGTCCCCCAAATTGGTCTGCGGCGTCAAGAGACTATCTATCTGGCCACCTAAGCAACCCTTTGAAGAATTTTTGTCAGCCTATTGCAACCACGTCTCTTCTAGATATGTTGGGTTATGACGTAGTAGTGGGGAACTATGTGTTGAGGGTTCCCTTGAGGTGCAGATATCATCTGCTCATTGGATCCCTACAGGCTGTGGCATCCCTGGAGAGGGAGAGTAGGGTGGCCCCTTCTCTCGTGTCCTTCTGTTGTCAGGCAAAGAATTTTTTACTCAGATGGGCTTTTAGCAACTGACTGGATGTTGAGCATGGGGCCTTTAAACAGGGGTCCCCAAATCCTTGGTCTGTGGCCCAGTGCCATTCCATGGCCTCAGCTGGACCAGGCCGTGGAAACAGATCTCCCACGTCACCCCCCGCATGGACTCCCCCGATGCCTCCCACAGCCCCTTCACACATGGGTGTGAGTCTATGCACGGCCATGAGCACCCCTGCCCCGTCGCACATGCGCACGAGCATGGGGGTGACCCACCCCCTGCACATGGACCCTGCCCCCCAAATTGGTCTGCGGAGTCAAAAGGGTTGGGGACCACTGCAAAGGACTGCTGTACATTTTGTGCAGCCTCTGACAAGTGCTGTCTCTTTTTGTCAATGTATTTTAAATTTATATTCTCGAAAGCTTTCATGGTTGGGATCTGATGGTTGTAGGTTTTTCGGGCTGTCTGGCCGTGTTCTTTTCTCCCTAACATTTTTCCAGTCTCCTGAGGACAGGAGTCAGAACTCTGTGCTCTGGTGTTTTAAATTTGCTTTTATTTCAATAGTGCTTTAATATTATAATTTGTTTTGGTGTGTTTTAGCATTATACTTTTGGGTCTGTTTTGAAGTGGACATAATTTAAAGCTTATTGTGAGCCACCATAAGTACCAGTTCTGGGAGAACACCATATAAATGAATATATAAACTTCATTTGAACTAGGTGTTGGCAACTGTTCCTTTCATGGGAGCTGGTTTTTGCAGCTCTCCATCACTCAGTATGACCAGTTCGTTCTGCTGTAGTAATTACTAACCTCAGCTGCTAAATTCCAGCTTTTTAGGAAAAAAAAAGTACTGTCAGTTTGGAATTGACTAGTCCCCTAAAATGGGAATGTGTATCAAATGTTGACCGAAATGAGCTCCGTATACAGCAGTGTATTAAAATGGCATCAATAATTGTTCCCAGACTCTAAAATAACCTGGCAGAAGTCCCCAGCAGGAATGTCCTTTTAAGTTGGCTCTCTGCTGTCCTTAGCAAATGTGATTGCATGACCCCAGGACTCCTCAGCATCTGCTGACTCTGTCTTTACCTTGCAGCTGAAATCATCCAGCTACGCCCAAGAACTGCTCTCATTGAGAGCAAAGATAAGTGGGAGATCTGGTGGGTCAGCAAAGATTTGGAAAGAGACTTGTTGGGCCTATAGTTTTCAAAATCCTCAGCTAAGAGGGCCACTGAGTTTCTGGGATGGCCAGCAAAGAAAAAAAAAGGGGAACACTTGAACTCTCTGACTATGATGGTGTTCTGTAGTCCTTTTCCCTGGTGGCTCTCTGTGTGTTTTGCAGTTGTATGCAGGAGGAATGTATTACATTTTGGTATCTGATAAATCAAGGAACAAATTTAGCTATTTTGGAGCATACCCTGTTGTTCGGAAGCCCATACGTAGCTGGTAGGATCATGGGGTTTAATGTTCCCTCCACTCTGGAATTCTGATTTTTTTTTCTGCCATTCACAGCTGTCTCACCCAAGGTCACCTTGTTCTGTGTTTATACAATGTGGTTGTTTTGTGAGTTCCATTTTTCACTAAAGTAGGCCGTATTTAGTCACATTCTTGCCTGGAGAACTGAAGATATTTATTTTTGAAAACCACTACTGGAAACTGCTGGATGACAACTGCCATTGTGGTAGACCAACCACACAGTTTACAGCCATTTCCAGGATATGTCCCATCTGCTACGCCTTTGTTGTGTACCACGGTGGCAGCTGTCATCCAGGAAATTCCACTAGTGGTTTTCAAAAAGTAAATAAGTAAATAAATAAATAAATAAATGACAGAAAGTGGCTGTTTAGAGAAGTCCCATGACATAAAGAGCCACATGTTAGTTTGGCAGCCAAATGAATCCAGGGGTGGGCAACCAGCTGGCCTTCTGTGTCAATCGCATTCCACAGCTAGGGTGCCATGGTTGGCAGGTTTCTCTTCCAGAGGATGTTGCCGCCAACAGAGTGACATCAGAGAAGGCCTCTCTAGCAGATCTTGTGTGATTCCGCAGGCATATAGAAAGGAAGAAGTACAAATATTGATGTCCCAGGCAATTCAAAAGCCATCTCCACCGCTATCACTTCAGTCCTGAAACTCATTGGCAACTGTTGTACTTTTGGGTCCTGGGAAGGTCTTTAAGGGCTCACATTCTTCTGTAGATATGGAAAGTGGCCATACTGAATGTGTTCTCAACAGGCATATGCACAGCACCATGAGAAAAGGGAACCATTTCCACCTTACGCACTGTATAATAAAACAGCACAGCATAATGGTTAGGCAAGCAGCTTCCAGGGCCTTGCAATCTACCACTGTCAAATTATATGGGATAGTGAGAGAAAGGAATATCTTTCCACATTCAAAAAGAAAATTCTTGGTCCCTGTTCACCTTGTTTTAAGGGAAACCAGTTTCAGGTAGAAAGAAGATGTGCAGGGAGCTCCTATTTTCATTGAGTTGATCTTCATTTCTTTCTTCTTCAGGACCAGAAAGGAGCGTGGATGTCACTGATGTCACCAAACAAAAAGATTGCAAGATGAAGCTAAAGGAATTTGTCGATTACTATTACAGCACTAACAGGAAAAGAGTCCTTAATGTCACCAATTTGGAATTTTCAGATACAAGGTAACACGGGACTGTGGGCCTGCCCATTCACTGCAAGGATGGTGAGCAGCCAGCTTTCCTCCACCATATTTAGCATCTGATTCCTAAGAAAGATAGCAATCTGTCGGTGCCCTACATGATAACAGAATCAATGGTTTCTGGTTTTACTCTACAGACTACAAAAGCATTTCCAGGAAAATTATACAAACTCTGCATTTCTGTTGCTGAAATTTTGTTCTGTGAGCAGCACTTATGGAGGAGTGATGAATTTATGATTTGCTGAACCCTGTAATTTAAACCTCTTTTTTTCTTGTAGGATTTCTGGGTAATCTACATAGACAAAAAGAGAGATTATTATGAGGCAGGAGAATGCTCTTTTATAAACAGAGAAAGTGATGAGCTCTGGGACAAATAAAATAAACAATAGCTGTTTTAGAAGAGAATTCCATCTTATTGGTGGGAGAAAGGAGCGATAATTAATGCAGATTACAGAAAAGCTGGAGGATAATTGCAAGATCATTTCTTTCACAGTATCTATAGCCCTCTAGGCTGTATTTATTGTTTAATAATGTAACCCTCTTCCTTGTGCGTGAAAGCTCAAAAGCTCTCTGATTATAGGTATTTTTCAATAGGCATTTTACAGTCTTTTCTCTACTCCAGAAACAATAATGATGGGAGGCATTTTATTCATGGGGATTATTGAAACTATTCTGATATACTACTGATTTAATAATCCACTGGCAAATATAGTATTTTTCGATAAAGAACATGACACATCAACAGAACCTAAAGCGCTGCCTTGACATGTAAGATAAATGCACCTATGTAAGGGTGCATTTTAGGCTTAAGCTCTTACTAACCAGGTATTTAAGAAGTGAAAGTAAATCTATATTTGTTTTAGTAAACTGCTAGACTTCCAGATTTTTGAATAAATAACCACTCAGAAGATTGACAGTGCTGTTTGCTTGCTTCTGCTTTTATTTTGGTAACACAGTTTGGTAAAAATAATTGTAATTTTTGGTTATAAATTGTTGGACTGATTGGTTTTTAAAAAATTAGTTGCACTTACATTCCCATGAACTACTTTGAAGTAAAGCCTGAGACTTACTCATGGTTAGGCAAAGATTTGCACCCTAAAATAATTTTTTCCTCAGATTTGATTAAATCTGAGGATTGATTAAATCTGAGGATTAAATCTTTGTTTAATCAAACAGTTTGTTTGATTAAACAAAGTTTTGAAATGCAGGGTGGCTTTGCTCACTCTCCCATGAACTACTTTGAAGTAAAGCCTGAGATTTACTCATGGATAGGCATAGATTTGCACCCTAAAATAATTTTTTCCCTCAGATTTGATTAAACAGTAGGGCTTGTAACAAAGTTTTGCAATGTGGGGTGGCTTTGCTCACTCTCTTGCTCCATCCATCCATCCATCCATCCATCCATACATACATACATACATACATACATACATACATACATACATACATACATACATCCCACAATTCAACTGTTAATTTAAAGAAAACCGATTAAAGGCTAGAACCATCATATATGAATATTTGTTAAAAAATATTTACAAACTAGAAATCTGATTTTAAAAGACCTCCCCCATGTGTTACCAGCCAAATCTGGGAGCACCCACAAAAAAGCAGTAAGAGCCAAAATATGATGACAGATAGGGCAAAAAGCACAATTAATAAGAAGGATCAGATATGTCGGGTGTGAACAGAGTAAGAGAGAGAGAGAAGCTTTATTGAAAAAAACAACAGTTACTCTTATTGTTATATCTTGCCCTTCTTCATGAGACTCAAATAGTATATAAGAATTCACATCAAAACACACTTTTAAAATCACCAATTAGAGATACCTAAAACTACAGATCTAAAGTTACACATTATATCCACACCACAGTTTACAAGCATCTGTTTTTTTTAAAAAAGCAATAAAAATTAGAAACAAAAGTAGTCACTGACCAAGTGAGTACAGGCCTACCGAGTATAGATGTGGTGTTAAGGCTTTAAGTGCTATTTTTAGGATCCCTGCTTATTCTGACTTGCTACTTAAATAATTGTATACATAATCTTTTAAATGCCCACATTTTGATCCTGGTGTTTTGAATCCTGCTGTTATTCCCCACATGTGCTGGCTTCAAAAAACCCAGCTAAAGATGTAAGGAGGATAGTGATCCTGTCTGCCTATTCAAAGCCCAACAGTTTATGAGTCATTGAGCTTAAAAATCTGCACTCTAGAGGCCATTGGTTCCAGATTTTCCCAGGACTTCCCAAAACTAGGAAGCAGCAGGACTTCCTGGAATGGAGGGATGATGAACTCTTGGCTATACAAAAACCATCTCTGCCATCAGAGATAGAGGAAGTCATGGTCAACCCTGAAAATGTCCTATTGCATCCTAACCATTTTGAGGCTTGTGAAATGCTTTCAAGGCTCATGACACATAAATTTACAAGGCTATGCTGTCTCAGGGAACTGGCCACGGTGCCATGAATAGCGTGTTGACTAGGACAAGTTCTGACACAGTGCTGTAGTCTGATCTAGATGTTTAATTTTTTTATTTTGTTTCTTTAACAGAATGTCCAGTTTTGTAGAATCTCCTGATATAGTGAAAAAACTCTCTTGGGTGGAAAATCATTGGCCTGATGATGCTTTACTGGCAAAGCCCAAAGTGACCAAATACTGCCTGATCTGTGTGAAGGACAGCTACACAGATTTCCACATAGACTCTGGTGGAGCTTCCGCCTGGTATCATGTCCTGAAAGTAAGACATTATTCTTTTGTGTTTCATAACAAATGTTATCATGCCAATTTTCCCAAAGTGGGTTTCAATTCCTGTGTCAGCCCTGCTCGAAGATGAGAGGTTGAAATAGTGAAAAGAAAATACACGCAAAGGGTCTGCAAAAAGCTGACAATATGTTTTGACATGAGATGCGCTCAGCATTTTGGTAAATAATTTATCTTGTGCAAAGAAATAATGTATGACCTTTCTGTGTAAGGTAAATAATTTATAAAATAGGGGAGGAAGGAGAGGTAAGGAATGTGGTTTGAACATACAAGATTGAATACACTTGTTAGCCCCAGTTAAAAGCTAGATGAATGAGATTAACTAAGCATGTTTTCTATTACAGGGAGAAAAAATATTTTATCTGATCAAGCCAACCTCTGCAAACATTTCCCTCTACGAACGCTGGCAGTCAGCAGCGAATCACAGTGAGATGTTTTTTGCTGACCAAGTGGATAAATGTTACAAATGCACAGTTAAACAAGGACAAACACTTTTTATCCCCTCAGGTGAGGATGTTGTCATAATTAAAATTGGGGCATCTGTACTGAAAATACTAGTCGGTTTGAAATCTAGAAGTAGAAATTGCATGTGAGGGGACTTGTCGACTTAAATAATGCAGTGGCATTTTACAGAATTACAGGCTTGTAGCCTTCTAAATTTTTTTTTCTGGAATGGCAGCATGCAGACTTGACTTGTTCGTTTAGTCCATGCAAGAAAAAAAGCAACAGGTAACATAAAATTGTACCTATTTAACTTTTGCAATTTATTTTACAAAGGGTGGAAGCAAGTATTACGAGGGAGACATGAGAGCTTAAAATCCCCCTTCACATCCCTGGGTGTTTGCTCTGTAGCCAGCTTGCATCTGAGAAAGGAAAGATTTATCTGCACGGTTATGTTGGTTTGATCAGTCATGGGTTCATCCTGAAAAGTCCTGAGATCTGTTGATTGGTGAGGTACTTAGAATCCTGTGCTAGAGTATGCTAGGAGACTCCTTTGAACTATCTCCCTCACCAGACTCTTAAGTCCAAGATTCCTTAGGATGGGACTATGGTAATTAAAAAGGTATCAAACACATGTAATTGTGTAGTACAGATACATCGTAAATCACTAATGAACCACTGAGAGGAGAAGAGACAAGGTGGAGGGGAAGAATGATTTGCACTGGTGGACCAATGGTGGGAGATACTTAGTCTCTTTCCACCACCGGCTGCTTTTCCATTCATGTGCTCTCAAGGGTCTTTCTTCCACTAAAGATTGGAAGACATCTCCTTTCCAAAAAGCAAGGAACTGAGTGATGAGAGCACTGGCTAAGTCACCCCCACTCCCAGGCATCTATTGCCTGTCTGATGCACGCCACGTCACCCTCTGAAACTTTGTACCTCCTTAATTGTCACCACTGCAAATTTTGGAATACCTCACATTTTAAGTGTGAAATTGAAATGCCACACTTGGTCTTTCATGAAAGGAGGAAGGATTTCTGATGTAATAATTGAGGTGGAGTATTAAAGGCCTTCAAATGTCTTTTAGAGTTCTTGTGCCTCTTGAAAGGAAAAATAGTTGCAATAGTATCTGAGGACATTTAAGAGGCCAGTAGTTACAATCCAGTTTTTAAAGAGTGCAATGTTTCTCCCTATCTATTGCAGGGTGGATTTATGCAACTTTAACACCTGTTGACTGCCTAGCCTTTGCCGGCCACTTCCTACATAGCCTAAGTGTTGAAATGCAGATGAGGTAAGCTGTTTCTACATGTTTCTATTTGATAATAATTAACCATACCATGGAGGAGAAGGGGACGATAGAGGACGAGATGGTTGGACAGTGTCACCGAAGCTACCAACGTGAATTTGACCGAACTCCAGGAGGCAGTGGAAGACAGGAGGGCCTGGCATGCTCTGGTCCTTGGGGTCACGAAGATTCGGACATGACTAAACAACTAAACAACAACAAACCATACCATAATTTGATTAGATGCAGGAATGAATGTAGATTTAAGCAAGGCTGGTGGAAGTGGGTTCCCTTCCCCCTCCTCCCAGTGTAGCACATAGGAAGGATGGGGCTAGAAGTCTGTCATTAGCAAGAAAGGTGAAAGAAGTTCTGTTTACACTCATGCTTGTGCCCTGTATCTTAATCTTGATCCTATCAAATGAGGTTTGAAAACATTTATTGTTTGAAAACATTAGCTGAATTAATATTTACTTCTTGGTTTTCCATTGTCACATGACTATAATATGGGCTGCGAAATTTGAAGTATACTTTTTCTGCTGAAACAAAATTTAAGTTGTTGTTAATGAGATGAACAACAAAACTGTCTATGCCTTTATACATAGCTATGAATTGAAAAGGGAAGTGCTTCAGCCCAAAGTATCAAGGGATATTCTTACCCCAATCATAAAAAGGCTGTAGTAGGCTCAGTTCAGAAATTTTCATATATTTATCCATAAGCACTATTCTTAGTCCTATGAATAACTGCTGAAATGTTCATATTTGGCATCAAAGAATGTGTGCTTTTTGGTTGACACACTATGTGCTGTTACTAAAAGCAAATCCCACTGGACATTTCTGAACAGAGAAGTATGCCTGTATGTATGATACATGTATGCATGCATACATACACACATACATAAATGATAGCACTTTACATGTATGTTAGGAATGTGACTTTTTTGGTACTTGCTTATCCAGCTAAAGTAGACTCGCTGAATTTATGAGAACTTGGAAAGTCAGCATTTAAAATGAATTTCATGGATTCAGTGGGGCTAGTTTGAATGATTAATTTAGGCATTCATAATTTGGTTGAACGTTTATACAATTTGTCTATTTTGTACTTAATAAGGCTCCTCTTGAATATGTGGTCAATTGACATTGTATTTTACTTCAAAGTATGTGAAATGTTCTTTTGTTCCAAATTACCCTAGTCACTTTTCTAGCAGTTGACAAATTATGACAATTGGCTTAATAAGAAGCAGCTGGAAGTCAAAGCCACATAACAATGAGGCAATGAGGCAAAGAGGGGACAAGAATTTATTTATTGGGTTTGCCAAGCTGCTTGTGATCTGTTGAACTGAAACACTTTACCCATGTATCATAGAGCATATGAAGTTGAAAGGCGATTAAAAATTGTCAGCTTAACCCAGTTTCCAAACTTTGAAACGGCTTGTTGGTACACGGGAAGGCACCTGCTAGAGTCATTTAAAGGTAAATAAAAGTGTGTTTCCTCTCTGTAAAATACTTTATCCTAACATTATGTTCTGTTAATACTTAATTTACCAGTCACAGTCACTTTTTAAATAATGTTCTTAAAGAGTTTGCAAAAAAGCACTGCATTAATGAGGTACTGGGATTCAAATAAATCGGCATGACAAAAAAACTTTTTAGAAATAATACCATTAAATGTATAAATATGAAAATTTTTGAAGAACAATAGGTTACCAGTGGGAAGGCATTTATAATGACTGCAATGTTAAGAATTACACTTCAGATCAAAGGAGGTCTGAATCAAAGGGGTTCGTTGTATTCCAGAGACAACACATGCAGCATGTTAAGCATGAATTCTAATTGGTAAATCTTGTGCTATTTAAATTACTCATCTAAGTGATGAACATTCCTTAGACTACTTAACATGCTCAGAAGAAAGCTCCGTGGTTCACGTCCTGGAGAATTTACTTTCTCCAGGTTAATGGAGATACTCCCCTTTCTTCCTGAGTTTCCCGGCTGGTGGTCTTCATTTTAGCCTCAGTCTCCTACAGATATTGATCCCTATCCCTTTCACTTCATGCATGCAAGGATCCATTGTCTCAGCAGCTGTGCTCTCAGGGGGGTTGAGCAAGTACAATCTTCGCATGTACTAAGGCAAATCAAAGAAGTCTGTGCAGTACACTCTTTTCACTCCAAAAGGATACTGGCCCTTGTCTCCTTGGCCTGCCTAATCTTCCTTCTTTCCCTTACATATCCACTTCTTATTAAATGTTATTTCCTAATTGATTGAGTAAACATCCCTGTTCTGATTTTGGTTGCATTCTTTTGAAGATCTCTTTTTTAACCCTTGTTTGATTCTTTATATTTTGAAATGCAGTAGTCTGGGATTTAAGTAAATAAATAAATAAGTCAGGATTTGTAACTCTTGACTGCTATATCAACATAGAAGGGTGAATCAGCTTTTATTTTTTAACAGAAAGCAGTAGACCAGAACTACTGGGAATTACTGCTTGTCAGTAATGAGAAATGACCACAATCCTATTGGTGTTGGCATAATATTTGTGTAATCTCTCATGGCTAATTGTGGCTAATTGACAAGATGCTGGGTCACATTGTGTTCATATGCCTGACTGTGAAACTGAGATGGGCCCCAGCTCATTGTTAATTAGCATCAGTTAACTTCAGCAGATTACATCATTTGAACACTAATAGGAGTCCAGCCAGTATGTTTGTCCTGGATGGTCCTACAAAGAGAGTGGCTACAGCATCCAAAAACTTTCTTACAGGAAAGAAAAAATTTGATGCTGGATCTGGACCATGGTTTATCACTCATCTAACAGGCTGTAGTTTGAAGCTAGGATTTGAAATTAGCTCTGGGCCTGTTAAGAAGATTCACAACTTAAGGTCTGATCTTTCCTGCTCTTATATGTAGATGGTTACTTCAGCCACTTCTACTTGTAGGAGGAAGCAAGGATGACTAGTAAGAGAGGTTTGCTCCAGTCAGTAGCTCATTAATGACAAACCAAAATTCTCCACAAATTCTCCTTGAGTGGACTTTTGTAGGCAGGCAGGTTTATCTACAGTATGTCTTTCACTAACGATTTCTATGAAGAATGCCTTACCTATTCCTCACCCACAATGGGGATATTCAGTACTTTCCCCATTCATTTTAAAGGCCAGTGCCTTTCTAGAGAAATCTTCACATTTAAATCCCTCCCTCTCTGTCTCTCTCTCTCACTCACTCACACACACACACACAAAGGGGGTGGGTTGAAATACGTTAGAAAGTTTAACGTCCCTATTATGAGAGGATACAAAGGCATAGGATGGGCAGGCTGTGCCAAATGCTACTCAGTCTTTGTATACATTACAGGTTTCAGAATGCTGCTTTCTTTTGTATAAATGTAAACATATATGGTGTATCTTAGCCCACATTTAATTTAAATAAATAAGTAAAACAGAATGTCAGTTATCTGCTGTGTTTAGATTTACAAGTCAACCAATGCCTTAATACTTGAACATTGAGTTGTAGACTTTGTGCTGTACATGTTGTTTCGACTCTTTTTTGAGCAGTGTGTAAATGTAATGGTAAAACATGTTAGACCTGTCTTGTGTGTTCAAATCTTACTTATAAGTGAAAAGTATATCAATGCGTTGCTAAAATTATATCCAAAGCTTCTATTATTGACAGTTAATGCAGACCACAGCATTTTCACATGACCTATAGTGTTTTAGAGGCAGTTACTATATAGTAAACACAGTCATATCAGCTGCCCTTTAAAATTCACTAAGAATAATCATATTCAGGATCTGTTTTGGTGGCTATAAAATTAAATATACATTCCACCTCAGAAAAACAAAAAGTACAGTGGAAAAGCTGCACATGGGTGTCCCATCTAGTCAGAAAGAATGCAGAACACTGTGGATTCATTTAATTTTTATTTTGTTTCCTTTTTAAAACTTGTATCAAGTCCATTACAATCTTCAGTGCTTCTCGGGAGCTTTTGCGCTATAACATGGGATGTTGGTGGGATCAGATTTTGCAGAAAACCATATGGAAGCAGCCTTCCAGGAGAAGGAGGCTACCCACAAAAGTTGCCTCCGTCCAAACATTTGACGGTCCCATGTTTTTCAAGAGAGAAAGTAGCTTTCATGCACAAATGTATTCCCATGCTCACAACAGGGGAACCACCCTACAGATTTGGAATTGAAACAGCAAGATTTGCAAAGAATTCGTTGGATTTGAATTTTGTCACCAAAAGTAGAATTTGTTGTCAGGCTTCAGAATAAATGAGCAGATGATCCATTTGTAAACATCAAATTTAGTTTCTACGTAGATTCCAAAACTTGGAACTAGAGATTGGTGACTCTAGAAACCGTCCCTACCAAATCAGTTTTTAGGTCACCTTAGGCTCTTTTTAAGGAGAAAGGTGGAATAATGATATTTTAAACAAACAAACAAACAAACAATAGGCTGCCCACGTCTATTCCTATTTCTTCTTCATAAAGAGAAGTGTTTTCTTCCTTTGTTTTGAAAATGGCTTTCATGCAATGTTGCTGTCTTCTTTTATTTGCTTAGGATTGCACAAAGCTGGAAAGCAGCCTCCTTCCCATTTAGTCCAGGGAGCCAAAATTTTAAATGGTGCTTTCCGGTCTTGGACTAAAAAGCAGGTAAGGCTCTTTCTGCACTCTAGATTTGTATAGCAGATAAAATCTTTCTGCACTCTAGATTTGTATAGCAGATAAAAGGCAAATACAACAGCCCTAGAAAGAGGTAGGGTGAATTATTCATTCCTCAAATTTCCAGTGACATAGATTTTTGTGTGTGTGCATCCTGATTTATATATTGAAAGAGGAAAAAAAACATAATGTATGATGTATTAGAAAAGAAACATATAGACTCTTTTTAAGAGAGTGGTCCTTTCGTATGCCACTCTCATTTCATGCCAAAGTGTTGCTTTGGTGATAACACAGTCAAAATCTAGATTATGACAAGGAGAACATTTCCATTGCTCTAGATAAGAATGAATAACAGATGGGTATGATTTAATCATTCAAAGAGTAGGTCCCTTGAATGGAAGGATTTGAGACCTTACAGAAAACTATGAGAGGTAGCAAACGGGCTAAAGTGAGATGGGATGGGGAAATTGGGAAAAAATAACTCCTGTTCTCTGTTGTGGAAGACTCTGGTGAATCAGTCCCATTCACATTCACTGAAAGGGCGTTCATGTGAATGGAAGAGACCATTTTGTTCATGGATGGAACCCACAGTGTTTGTTGCTCCTTTGAACTGAAGAGCTCAATAATATTCATGGTGCCTTATGTGAAGACTATGACCTCATGAGGTTGGTCAACATATTATTAAGCCCTTTTTATTTGGTTTTATTCTATTCAAGGCTTTAGTGGACCATGAAGATGAACTGCCAGAGAATTTTAAACCAGCACAGCTCATTAAGGACCTTGCCAAAGAAATAAGATTAAGTGAGGTTGGTATTCTTGGTATTTTATTTTAAATAAATACCTTTTCCTTGCATCTCTCCACTGAGTGCTAAAAATGACTCTCCATATGTCCAAGGGCTGAATTGGTTGGCACTAGAGCTGGGTACAAATTAAGAAATGAATCATCAAATTTGATTACTTTGGAAAAAATTGATAAATTCTCTAATTTGTCAATTTGTATTCATATGAATCAATGCCCGTGATGAATACGAAGGAATTAATTTTTAGCGATTTTGTCAATTTGTTTGGCTGTAAGATGCACCCACCCCACCCCCACTCCAGCATCTATAGGCACCAAGATTGCAGGAAACTTCCTCTCACTCTCCTCTACAGTCCCTACCAATTTGATGAAATTGGGTTTTGGATAACCAAGCTTTACACCCATAAAGAAACTCTTCTCAGGAAAGTTCCTCCCAGGGACCAAGAGACACCAAAATTACTGAGAACCTTCTACTGACTCTCATCTACAATCTCTCCAAGTTTGATGAATATTGGGTATTCCTAAGCCAGCTACCAGAAGACACTTTACTGGGAGAACTGTTTTGTGGATGTATAACCTGTATGTCTGAAACCCAATCTTCACCAAACTTTGATAGACCATAGAGGACAGTGAGTATAAGCTTCTTTATAATTTTGGTGCCTCCAGGTGCCTACGGGGGACTTTTCTGGGGGAGCCCTCCTTGTGAATATATAATTTGAATGTCCAAAATCTAAACTTCACCAAACTTGCAAGACAGAATTGTAGAAGAGAGTCAGGGGAAGCTGTCCTGTGAATTTTGTATCTCTAGGTGCTTGGAGGCCATTTTATAGGGCTTTAAAATAAAAATAATGAATTGATGATTTGTTGATTCATCAGAAAAAAATAAATTTATAATTTGTGATTCATCAACCTTGATGAATCACAAATCAAAATGAATCACCACTTTTCTGATTTGGGCCCATCTCTACCTGATACCAACTCAAATCATATGTTCTTTGTATATCCAGGAACATCTTTGTTCCTGGAAAATACAGCACACAGAGAAACTAGAGCAGAAGAAGGTGGGCTTGCTTATGTTAGAGTTATGAATCCTTCTCCATATGAAGTTAATATTTTTCTGTGATTTTAAATCTAAGAACTGTGTCGCCAAGCAGAATCAAGTGCACATACAGTAGAAGGCCTTAAAATTTTCCACCATTGATCTCTTATTTACATATTGAACTGATTATATTGCAAACATATCTTAAATTGACTTAAAGTGTTGAATTGGTCTTCATTTGGCTAGTTGTTGGGCAACAGATTTTGTAGGGAGGATGCAGGCATGAATCTGGATTGAGTTCAATGGGAAGGTTTGTGTGGGATTGCAGCCTTTATCACCATGAAATCAGTGGCATTTAATTGTGTTTAATATGCCACTAACAAGGCGATCCACTAACAGTGCCATTGGGTTTGGAATGGGCCAAAGTTACCATACTTGTGCTGATATACAGTAGCCGCCTTTATGCCGGCACAAGCTCCTTGTGCTGACTGATCTCACATCTACTGCCACTATGCCTCTGCCCAATGAGATCAAGTGAACCCCCGCCCCCAAAAGGCAGAGAAAGGGAAGAGTGGAGGAGGAGCTGATGTATGTGAGATCCAAACTGCTTTTACTCCAGTCTCATTGTCACTAATTCCAACACAACAATAAGCTGGGATGAGTAATTTCTAACATTCCTAGGCTGGGGGTGTGTGAGAGGTTGATTCAGCAGTGCCTCAAGCTAGCCTTAAATCAGCCCAATCAGCCCACAGACATCCTGGATAGTTACGATTATGTACTAAATTGGAAAGTTCCCAGAAAGTAGAAAATCAGATTTAATGAATTTTATAAGCACATAAGAACAGCCCTGGTGGATAAGAAGAAAGGTGTGCCTAATCCTCCAGTGGTCGTGCAGATTCCCAGGAAAAGCCTACAAGCCAGTATAAATGCAGTAACACCTGGCGCTCTGCTATTGAAGGTAATATATGACCAAAGTGAGGAGCAGCCATGGAAAGCCTAATTTTCCATGCATTTGTCTAATGGCAACATATATAAAAAATAATTTCAATTTAATTAGTCACACGCTGTTCATTTTTAATATACATCTTTTACTGTTCCTTTTACCTGGAGAAATACATAATTCAGTTTTGTTCCTTGCATGCAAATTAATTTGAACTGCACTCTCTTAAAACTGATTAGCATTTTAAATGAAGCATTGCTTCGTTTCTTTTTTATTTCCTATTGTTTTAGCAAAAACAAAGGAATGTCAGAGACTTCTAGGATTTTTGAAAATGTAAAAGCAAGAACAAGAAAACGAGCCAAGCAAAGAGTAATTTTTACATTAATAATTATAATTAGGTGGCAATCGTTTTCCTTACACAGATGGCATTCCTGAATTATGAAAGCATGTGACTATATAATAAAGTTCTGCATAGTTTCTACATGATGCTGGGCCACCCCTTTCTGTTTGTCCTTTGACATCTATGAAAATTGTATAGAGTATGCAAAGAAATAAGTACATGGTGCCAGAATGATGCTTGGTAGCAAAATATGTAACATTTCATTAAATTCCTTTCTATTTTATACAACAGGCTTTTCAGCAGTGGCCATATTTTTCTGAAAGACCTGTCAAACGGATAGAGCCATAGTTCAGTGGCATGCTGAAGTCATAATTGTTGTTGTTGTTTAGTTGTTAAGTCGTGTCCGACTCTTTGTGACCCCATGGACCAGAGCATTCCAGGCCCTCCTGTATTCTGCTGCCTCCTGGAGTCATAATAGCACGTGATAAATTAACTCTCCCTAGATCAGTCCTTCTTGAACTATCCTACTGTACCTTCTAGTAGAAACTAGTCAGATCAGGTCAGCTGAAGTCTTCATATTTGGAGCGGGAGGAGAGCTTTTGACCATCACCAACTCAATGGGGACATGGGAGATTAATTTGGACTGAATGTGTGATTTTTAATAGCCTTTCAATTGAAGCAGCTAGTTCTTACATTTCAGGAACTGCACTGTTCTTACCATTCAAGTTCCATAGTCTGTGCCCCTGTGTATCAGCAATCTAGAAAAACCCTCTCGGCATCAGAGACTAGATCACAATATAAAGTTTCCACATGCTCTTAAGTGTTCTCTCCTTTCTACACTGTCTCATTACTGAATCAAAGAAGGAAGGAGTGGCGGAGTGTCAGCCACTTGCTCTTCTAACCATGAAAACTGGGCAGCGCCGCAATTCCAGATCCCCTTTTGGTCTTCATTTCTAAAAACATGCAAAAAAGTGTCTTTAGAAACACCCATTGTGGCTTTCTTATACAGTATACAGCTATGCTGAACAGAGGTGGAATATCCATTTTTGAAAGCGGGCCCTAAATACACATTCTTCTTGTTTTTCTCTTCTAGAATGCTTTGAAAGTCAGCAAACCTGAAGTGGCTGCCAATGTGAATGTTGAGCAGATCAGCCCAGTGGAGAAAGAAGAAATACCATCACCTGCACCACGGACACCTCCACCACCACCTCCACCACCATCACCACCTCCTCCTCCTCCTCCACCGCCGCCACCGCCGCCACCACCGGTTGAAAAAGTCTCTAAGAAAAAGACCCCAAAAGCAACGAAAACACCCAAACCCTCCAAACTAGCTAAACCTCCCAAGCCACCCAAACCACCCAAGCCACCTAAACCCCCCAAACCTCCCAAGACGCCCAAAGTCAAAGGAGAAGGGAAGAAGAAAAACAAGAAAGCAAAAGAAGCTCCTCCACCTGCCATTCCTAACTTAGATCTTCTTGAGGCTCACACGAAGGAGGCCCTAACAAAGATTGAAACGCCAAAGAAAGGCAAGGTGAGCAGAGACGTTCTGGCTGTTGATAAAGACTAGTTACGGGCTGAAGAACCTTCATATCTTAGAAAGAATAGCAGAGATGGACCACTGACCCCCAATGCCTTAATGCCACGTGATGCCTTATGCCCCCAATATCTGTTGCTCCCAATGTCTGTTCATTCACCAAGCGGATGGACTGGAATGTGTCCCACCTGATGAGCTACAGAGAGTACTACCCTGAATAGGCTGATATTTATTCACATATTTAAACTTGAGGAAGTGTCTTTGTCACTTTTCAGTGTTTGCTTGTTAAACTATTATTAAAACAATCACCATTTTTAATGTTTTGTATGCCTATTCCTCAGCATTCGCCTCCTACGCACACTGGTGTATAAAGATTTGTTTGCTCAGCTATCGCTATAATAAAGTGGGCAACAGTCCATGAACAGTCCATAACTCATGCTATAATAAAGCTATTATTCCTTGAGGTCCCACAAGACATTTTGTTGATTTGCTGCAGCAGACTAATATGGCTATACCCTTTAAAAATACTGCTGTTTTCACTGACTGTGGGATTGGATTGTTGTATGGTTTTTTTTAACCATTTACAGGTAACTTATCAATATACGATTTGGGCAAGATTTCAGTTTCTTAACTAAGAATAATTAAACTCACTTCACTCAAATTCTGGATATTGGTGAAAAGTTAAATTTGTAGTGGACTTCTCCAAAAGACAGTGTATTCCTAAAGTATCATATATGTAGAAACACAGGCCCCATGCAACTGATAAGAAGATTTGGCAAGTGTGAGATACCTTTATGCAGTTTGAGATAGGCAGGCAAACTTATTTTCAATGCTACCCGAGTCTTGGCATTCAGCTCATAATAAAAAGAAATAATTCTCTGTTTCTTCTAAACTTAACACTTGATACTTCAGTTACCTTTGTCAAAATAAATACATTGCAGTCCTATCTTAATAAAGTGAAAATTCACTCTGACTAAATTGATGTATGGCAACTAGTGAGAAAGTGAGAGAGATGTTATATTGCCCCTGTGTATGGGTAATCAGTTTATTTGTGGGATTTGTACACACATACATTCATTTATTCATTTATTTGAATTAGGCTGCCAAGAATGCTTTGAGTGCTCCTGCTAAAGAACCTGTTGAAAAGCAAAATGAAGTGGAAAAGTTTGAAATCCGTGAGCAGAATAAGACCAAAACAGAAGCAAAGTGGAAATACAAGGTATGGCCCCTCTCACTCTGATTAGATTACTCTGTATAAATTCTAGTGCAATCCTGAAAGGTAGCAGCAAAGGGATTTCCTTGAGGACCAGATTCTGCACTGAGTGTTGGGTTGTGCACTGATTGTCTTAAACATTTCATCAGTATCTAGACCTTGCTCTTATCTTGCTTTGTACTGTTTATTGTCTTATACTGCTTCTGTTGAACAGCTGGTTTTACTTTGGTTGCAATGTTTTTATTTTTCATTTTACCTTGGTTTTATTATGTGCTATCTTCTGTTTGTACTTCACATTTTACTGTATTGTAAAAGTCTGATTACTGAGTAGTTTTAAAGTGCAATTAATTAATTTTTTAAAAAACAACATCACAATCTTGTGTCAGCATTTGGTCTACAACTTGCGAAGTCCAAATGTCCATATTGATTGGAAGATTCTGTGTGTTGTAGTGCAAAAAAGTAAGTTTTTCCAAAGTGTGTTTGTAGCCCTGAAGAACAGACCTTTCCTCCTTGAAGTTGTTTGTCTTTCCTTTTATCTTGTAAACCAGAACAGATCTCAGGTTTTATGGATGCATTTGGCTGCCTCTGCCCCCTCCCCACCAGCATCCAAACGTAGTTTTATTTTAAGAACTGCCATTTCTGTGCCTCACAATGACTTCATGGGCTGTTGCTTTATAGCAGCTTTATAGCAGCAATAACCTCACTGCCTTGGACTGATTCAATGCAGCATTACTTCCACATGATCCTATATATTTATTTGGGTAGTGGGTTCTGTAACTGGGAATAGATTTCCTATCATCAATTGTGTTACTGGTGTATTTGTTCTATAGCACTAATGGTCCATCTGTTCTAAGTCTTAAGAAGGGAAAGAAGTCACCCATTAAATCATAATTGTTATAATTGTCCTATTACCCCAATTTTCAGAACAGCAAACCTGATTCATTATTAAAAATGGAAGAGGAACACAAACAAGAGAAGACACCATTATCAGGAAACAAGGACAATAAATTTATGTTTTCTTTTTCCAACAAGAAACTACTCGGGTAAGCACAATTTTTTGCAATAAATATTGAGTAGTAAGATATATACTTCCCATAACAATTTTGCCAAGAACTTCAGATTCATTTAAAGATGTTTTGCATATTACTAAGTAATATGCAAAATAGATATCCGTTGGACTTACAGCCAAGCAAATACAAAAAAGGGAATCTCATTAGAATTTCCTGAATTGCAATTAAGGAAAAAACAGAAGTAGAGAGTGTGTGGAATGTTTACTTTGCTATCTGTAGGCCAAAGATAAAACCCTGATGTGGACATGTGGATCGGACTCAGGCACAAAATCATCACCATAATTGATGAAGCAGGGCTACTTCTCACAGGAGGCATTTAATGCAAAGTTAATGTGATGCAAATGACATATTCCTTGAATCTCTGAAAATGTTGAGTAATAGTCTCACATTTTTGGAGGGGAAGAATTCTTATTATGGTATAAATCACATGGCTGTAGAATGCTTTGTAGCCTTAAGAAAAACTCTTTGGAAGTCTGTGCTTGGTGGTCTGTTCTTCATGGGTGGCTAGATATGAGCACATCCACCACAGCATATGGAAGCTGGCTTTCAAAATGAGTTGGGAAGAGCCAGACTAAGACGCACTGGAAGCAAAATTCGTCTTCCTCTTGTGGATGTGCATGACTGAACTGAGTCTGAGTTCAAATGACTTCAATCTACACACTGACAACAGAGGAGTTTGTTAAATGAATCTTTTCCTTCCGTGTGACTTTTGTTCCCCACACAGATTTATACTGGCTGTAGAAATTGTATGGGGCATTTATTAAAACAGATGAATAAATGTGACAGTGAAAATGACGGTGAACACAATCAGTTCAGAGTTTTCCTCTGTGATCTGTGGTCAGTCAGATTGGTGATACCTAACACAACATAGCTAAAATGTTTTTCCAGACTTACAAGTTTAATAGAAATCAGTCCGTCTGAATAGCTTGATCTTTCAGCTCAGGGTTTTTGCTATTTTGGTGAACAGTCTGGCTTTTTTCAGAAACTGCAGTCTGACTCCTTGCTTTCTTAAGAAAATTAGGAGGAATCCTTCATAAGAAAAGGATATGATGTGTTATTGAAACTGCATAATTACTTCTGCTGTCAATTAAAACATTCCATAAGCTGTTAATGTGAAAGTAAATGAGCTGAACATTAGAATGACATAAAAATGTAATTATCTATTTTAAAGAACCACCATTAGATTAAGTTATGTGAAGCCTAGCTGTGATTTTTGCTGTATATCTGACTATCTATTTAATGAATAATATTAAATATTGAATATCTTGTATTCTTCTCTGTATTATAGTCAGCTATGTGTACCTGACATTTATTTTGTGCCAAAAAATGATAGTAAGATAATTGTCCCACTATTGGTCTTTGTGATTATTTCTTCTTTGTCAAAACAGGTCAAAAGGAGTGAAAACTCCATTGAACCCTGGTATATTTGGATCCCTGCAAAATTTCAAAGAAGATAAAACAAAACCTGTGAAAGATGAATATGAGTATGTTTCAGATGACGGAGAATTGAAAATTGATGAATTTCCAATTAGAAGGAAGAAGAACACTGCAAAAAGAGATTTATCCTGTAAGATGGTTTCTTCTTTTATTAAGCAATTAACTAAGCCAGTGATCTGTCCCAGGGTAGCAGGAATATCTTGCTGGGCATGTCCCTGGGCTGGCCAGCCAATGTAATGTCTGGTACGTGGGACAGTCATTTTTTGGCTGATGGAGGAGAATTACACTGGTCTCAGTCCCAGTCTGTTCTTCCAGATAGAGCAGAAGTGGTTGTGCTGATGTGGACAGCATTGTTGGCTCTAAAATTGGGGGTGGGGCAAGGAGTATTACATCCCTTCATCTTTTTTTGTTCTGTGTTGATGCATCTGTTAAAATTATGTTTACGGGTGTAAAACTCTTTAGACCAAGGGCACCTCTGCAGAAGTGACGTAACACTGATAATAGTACTAAGAAGTAACACACGGTTTTTTTCTTCACAATGAAATCTGTATTTCAATTTCTTCCCAGTTTTATCTGATAAAAAGGAAACAACACAGCACACGCCAGTGAAGAAGCCAAAGGTGGAATCTGTATTGTACAAGGTATTTTCCTGTTATGTTATTATACTCTTCCCTATGGATTTCTTCAGCATGAAAAGAAGTATATTCGCATGTTGCGCATTGATCAATGTTGTGTGCTGACTACAAGTTCTTTGTTATAGTTTTCCTTGCTATATACTTTGCATAGAGGAGGTCCAAGCCTCTCCAGGGAGGGCTAAGGCAAGTTGCCTGTCTGAAACCCCAGATGGCCTTGACTTGGCAAGGTAGACCAGATTGGGCTTGATGGGTCAGAGGTCTAACTCACTTTCAGGCAGGTTCTTACACTCTTAGAGGATCACCATCTCTTTTTCTGGTGTAAGTTGGATAAAACAATTCAAAGAACAATGCAAATAAGGGAACAATTTTAAAAACACAATGAGATGCCAGTATTCCATCCCAAAAGACAGCACAATCTCTTCTCATCTCTCCATGTTTTCCTGTTGACTTCTTTAGAGTGATGACTCCTCCGATGAAGATTCTCTCCACATTGATACCGAGGCCAAGCCAGCTCGCAATTCAAAAGGGAAGAAAGAGACTGCAAGTTCAGCAGGCATCCTGGATCTTTTGCAGGCAAGCAAGGAAGTTGGAGGTTTAGAGTACAACACGAACAGGTAGGCACAACAGGAGTCAAAATCAGTCTTTATACAGTCTGAGTGGAATACAGTGGGCTGGTTGAACTCTCTTCCCTTACGGGCAATCCAGAGCATCCCCACACTTGTAGCCCTTTATGCACCCTCAGAGTTTATGCCCAATGGCTACAAGTATAGCAAGCCTTGTGGTGCAGTGAATAAACTGAGGCACTGCAGCCAAAATCTGCTCACAACCTGAGTTTGATCCTAATGGTTTCAGGTAGCCAGCTCAAGGCGGACTTAGCCTTCCACCCTTCTGAGGTTGGTAAAATGAGGATACAGGGGGTCTGGACAGACAAAGTGTTCCTTGCATAATTATGTTGTAAACCACCTAGAGAGTGCTCTAGCACTATGGGGTGGTATATAAGTTAAAACAACAACAGCAACAACAGCAACAGCAACAGCAACAGCAGCAGCAGCAGCAGCAGCAGCAGCAGCAGCAGCAGCAGCAACAACAACAACAACAACAACAACAACAACAACAACAACAACAACAACAACAGTACTCCAGAAGGTTGCAGAAGGGAGGAACATGCTGCTCCTCCAGCAGATGGGTTTTAGGCTTGCTAAAATCTTGTACACACACACATATAGCCAAAAGTTTATTTGCAAGAATGTTTCCCTTCCATGTAAATTTTGGATGTTGTTGCTACTGCTGCTGTTTTGTACCTGCAAATGCTTGTAATGCAGTTACAAAACTGTACTACTCCCCCACAAAAACATGCTTTGCAAATCTATTTAAAAAGGTTCCCCTTGACATTTTCAGTCCAGTCGGGTCCGACTCTAGGAGGCGGTGCTCATCCCGGTTTTCAAGACGTAGAGTCAGCGCTTGTCCGAAGACAGTTTCCGTGGCCAGCGTGACTAGGGAGCGTCATTTAAGTGATCACAATTGAGATAATTTATTTTTAATGTATGTTAAAATGCAGCAGAACGGCTGACAGAATCATCAGAAGAGGAGAAAAGATCAGTTTCCTATACCCCTCAAACCTGTGCAACTATGCTTTCAATTGGCACCTGAATGATAGCAACAGGAGGATAGCTGAGTTTCTGTCAGAAGGGAGTTCCTCAGTTGTTGTACCACTATTGAGGAAATTCTGCTGTGTGGCGCCCACTGGGTAGACTTCTCAAGCTACAAGCAGAGCTTCTGGATTTTTAGTTGCATGTAGCAGTGCCATGCATCAGCACACTGAGCAATGTTACCAGTGGCTGAATTTTCTGCCCATCTGTATCCCATTATATTCTGGGCTGATGTAATATTGGAAATATTTAGGCCAGATTTCACAAGACACTCAGGAAAACCACTGGCAAAAGATTTTGTTGGGATGCTGAGACCTGGGACAGTGCTGTCCCAGAAATCTGGCAAATGAGTCAGTTTGTGGCCAAAATCCTCTTGCATAGCAATGCAAATGGCGTAACTTTTAGAGGCAAATTGCCCCAAGTTAAGAAATCACTGTAGACATTACCAGTTGAATGCTGAGTCATACAACCCCGTATGCAACTGATAATGTCTACAGTGATTTTTTTTAATGCAAGGCACTTCACCTCCAAAGGTTACACTGATTCTGCTAGGCTAGTGTAAGCACGTAAGAGAATTGTGGCCTGCATGGTGGAAACACACTTTGATGGGCTTTAGCACAGTGGCAAAACACTTGGATCTTAGTTCTGCAAGTGATACACCCAATTTCAAGGCAATGGTTGGTCTTGTTAAATAAATTGTTAGACTAATCCTCTTCTCTGCTTGTTGATCTCAACCAAAATTATCTGGGCGAATTATCAGAAGCCCACTAATGTTCCATCCATAAGACTCTTGACATATGAAAAAATGGATAAATTAAAGGGCTGCGGCTGAAAGCAAAATTGAAAGTGCTTGAATGTTGCACTAAGTGGTAAATGATCACCATGTATATTGTGCTGGAATGTTTCATTATAATTATGTTAAACTAGACAGTCAATGCTTTTTGGAGTTTTAAAATTAAATTGGCTTAGCAACAGGCTTAATAACAAGGACAAAATGATCTTCCCTTTAAGTGGGGTGAGACCAGCAGAAATTTAGCAGGTGAGGTATGTGCATTTAAGTGCAATATACCTCAGAGACAAGAGAACTAGGCTTGTTTTGCAGCACAGAGCTGGGAGGAGAAAAAAAGGAAATATCTCAGTTGGATAGAGCCGCAAGTACAGTTGGTAGAACTGTCCTTCCTGTGAACAAGAACCATCTGAGATTTTGAAACTGCAACACAGCGTTGTTTTGATGTAATGTTCAGCCACGCTTCAAAGCTGCCATGCAGCCAGCATGCCGGTTTTTCTGATGTGAAGCATTTGGCTGCAACCACACACAGTCAATTTTTAAAGAAGCTCTCATTCACAATTTTTCAGTTCACAGAGAATTTTCTTTCATATACTTTTTTTTTACAACACTCCCCCCCCCAATAATCCCTGAAATGACAGAAAAGGGATGTGCCTTTCCAGACTTTAATAATTGTTTCCTGTTTCATATTTCACTTCAGGCAGATCCAGAATTACGAAGCTGCAAATGTGCCTAATGAAAAACACATTGGGCATAATCCAGTGTAAGCATCTCCTGTGCTCTCTCAAGCATCTCTCCTTGATATTAAAGGAAGTACTTTTAGTCTCAGAGTTGCAGGATGGTGAAGCCAAGGGCGAAGTGACAGGATGCTAAATTAAAGGACGCCTTCTTTCAGGAGCCTCTTCTTAAATGCAGAGGGCTTTCTCAAAATCGGCTCTGCTCAGAGATTTTACCTGAACATTTTGCCATTCTAAGAGTTTATTAAACAATCAGTGCATGGCCTGGGTTTTTCCCTTTCCTTTCCTTCTCCAGAGCCACTGGTTTTGATCAGATCCCACAAGTGATTTGCTAAGGCCTGCCTTGCTTCAGGCAATTCCGCTCTAATTTGCCCATTTGGCAGGCAGCTTTTGATGGTCCATTTCCACTCTATCTGGGGTTCAAGGTTTTAAGGAAGCTGTTGGGGAAAATAAGCAAATAGTCTTTAAAGCTCATGGAGCTGCTAACTGCTAAGACCAAGTTAGCTTATTTTGGGTACAGAACCATGAGTTAAAAAGGTCTCTAAAAATCTGTGGAGCACATTTTATACTACAGTTCCGTGAATGCCAGGCAGCACAAAAGTAGAGTAAATTAGCATCCAGATGCAGTGTATTGAGCATGACAATGTGAGACAATGGCCATCCTGTTAGTGATGGCCACCATGACCTTTTGGGGGTGCAAGGATGCCTTTGGATTCAGAGGAAGAGCATCGCTGTCAAGTGATAGTACATACGATGTTTGAGGACATCTCAACCCTCATGTCACAGTGGTTAAACCGCTGTACTGCAGCTAAAACTGTGCTCATGACTTGGGGTTCAATCCCAGGTAGCCGGCTCAAGGTTGACTCAGCCTTCTATCCTTCCGAGGTCGGTAAAATGAGTACCCAGCTTGCTGGGAGGGGCAATGTGTAGCCTGTGTAATTAACTTGTAAACCATCCAGAGAGTGCTTTAAGCGCTATATTTTGCTTTTTGCTTTTTAATACACATTGTTTTTTATGTTGTTCTTGTTACACTTGCCCAGACCTCAAAGTTCTCTCCCCACCGTCTTTTCTTCTTCCTTCAGCCAGCCACCTGCCTCCCCCAGCACACAGGAAGCAATCCAAGGGATGTTGTCCATGGCAAACCTCCAGTCTTCCGAGTCCTGCCTACAGCCTTCATGGGGCACCAATCAGGCCAAGAATAACTCTGTTTCAGCCCCAAATACCAAAAAATCTGGAGGGAGCAACAACAAAAATGCAGGCAAGAGGTTACTGAAGAAGAGTGCGAAAAACAACATTGCAATTGAAGATTACGACGAGGACCAGGATCACTTAGATGCCTGTTTTAAAGATTCTGATTATGGTATGGGACATTTACATCATTTTGATCGCCGGGTGTGACTTTTCATATATTCTTGTGCAAATTTTTGTGCAACAAACACAGAGTTGGGGCATCCTATCCTCCTGTTCAGCAGATCCTGAATTAGAGACCTGAATATTTGCTGGGAGTCTGTGACATTTTCTGCTCAAGGCTTGCATTCAGGGCACTACACCTGGAGAGTGACCCCAGCTTAGGCCCAAATGCCATTACTGGGGTGGGGTGGGGTGGGGTGGAATGCTTGGCTCAATAGTCCCCATGCTAGTCTTCAACCAAGGCTCAGATTATGTCTTTTGCACTATACAGTAACTCCAGAATGCCATGGCCAGTATGGCCAGGGATCATACTGGCAAAGGTCTTCTGAGAGTTGTAGTTTCAAAAAGGTAATTTATTTAAGTTATCCTTTCAGCCTTTCCTTGTGGTAAGAGAACAAGGTCAGGGGCATTTATATCTAGCCTGCTTTGCCAAAAAAGCATATTGCAGGTCCATTGACACAGCCCTTTGGACTTTAGTTATGAAGTTTGTCAAGCGATTGTATGTGGCTGGCAGAAAAATTAGATAACGTAGTCATACTTGCCAGAGTAAGGAGCCACTTCCTCTGCTGTTGCGCAGGATTTGTGCTTAGATCTGGATATTATGAGTACTCTTGAATGAATATTATCTTCCAGAAATATTATCCCATGTTCTCATTATTCTGGATTTCTATAAAAGGCCCTATTCCAGATAAATATGTGTGCAGTGGCTATTACCTGTCACCACTAACTTTCTCTTTCACTGCTTCTACTCCCTGCTCCTTCAAACTTTAGATTCTTTAAGTTTAAAAAAATAGTTTCTGATGCTTTGTGTGGAGATGATTGAACAGGAAAGGAAGAAAGGGTGGGGAACACAGTGCTAAATCTGGTATTTGTTCTATGTAGAGTAGGCCCAAGGAAATGAATGGGACTTGTTAGAGCCTTGCTGGATTCTGTCCACACAGCGGCCTACAATTTGCCTATAGGAAGCCCAAGAGGAGAACAGCAATAAGTACAACTGTACCTTCCCACTCATGTTCTTCACACTTACTACACAGAGGTGGATTATCCCTTTATTCTGGAGAGGAGTATGTAGTTTATATATATCAGAGAATAAAACTTTTCAGCCATTAAAGTGAAATCATTTCTTCTCTCATTGGAAAAGGACTTCCTTTTATCTGAACTAAATTTTCTACCATTCAACTTTATTGGAGGAGCCCAAATTCTTGTATTATGGCAAAAAAAGCTGCCTATCACCCACACTCAAGATGGCCAGCAGTAAAGAACTGCGGGAGTTACAGTTGTTCCCACCCATTCTGGCCTGCTGGATGCATGCAAACCTCTGTGTCTACTTGCAAAGCAAGTAGGCAAGTAGACTTATTAAAGACATCAAAGCTGCACTTCATGAGACATTTACACTGTTAATGTAGCTTTGGTGATGTTCTTCACATTGTACTGGTTAGCGTATGGCTACTGAAGTGTCCAATGAATAAGCATAAAAGATTTCGTAATAATTCAAAGAACTTGATACCTCTTTTAGTAACATATGTACAATATCTTTTTTTTAAAGGATTTTTGTCTTGGCCTTGACCCTTTAAAAACATGTAATTTATCTCTGCTGTCAGCATTTGACATGCTGAATATTAAAAATACACACTGAAATCCTCTGAAGTTCTATTGAAAATAAGGCTCTCTTCCATTTTTTGGGGGGGAAGGCACATGTTTGACAAAACATAAGCTCAAGTTACAATTACAGTACCTGTAGGCCTATCACTCAAGTGAAATGACTTTTAAAACGTCAGGCAAGTCTAAGGTACAGACACGCTCTAAATATGACATTCTGAAAGAAGAGAGGGCCGCATTAGGAGGACCAGCATTTCTTACTAAGTATATATTTATGCTACCATTTAATAGGGTCTCTTTGTAGTAAGATGATTTGGTTCACCAAGGCTCCACTAGTCCTACATCTGGTCAGCACATTTTCAGTCAGTGGCTTGACTGATGCAATTAGTTAAAAATCATATATTGCCCTAGCAAAAAAAAAGAGAAGAAGAAGAAAAAGAAAGAAAAAGAAAATTAAATCCACATTTTAGATGAGCTGCTCAGTTCTGGTCAGTGCTAGCAGAATTGCTGCTATTTAGCCTCAGAGCTGAGGATTCGTTGAAAACGAAGAAAAGCTTATGGTTGTGACAAATTTTAGTTGTCATGACAGGGGTAAAAACTGACTGGAAGGAATTTGTGTCTTCGAGATCTGTTCATTAAAAACAACTGCTATTCGGCAGCCGCTTCATGCAATAATATGTGTGTGAGCAGCTCCCCACATGGTTTGGGTTGTTTTTAACAAGGCAGGGAGCTATAAATAGCATATGTTCCCAAACACACAAGATGTCTAGAATTAAGAACATCCTAGAATAGATAGATTAGATAAGCTGCTCAAATATGGAATTCATATTTTCTCTTACTTTTTATTTTAAATGCAGTTAGAGAGCGAATTCCCAATTCAGGAGAACCAATGTGCAGAGAAATGGCTGAAGTTCACAGCAGATCAGTAGGAAAGCTGTAAATAGGTGTGCCTAAATCTATTTGTTAGTTGAAATTAGGGTAGATCCACGAGATCGGTATTGAACCGATGGGACTTGGTAAACAGCACTTCTGTAGTTCCATTGATTCAACAGGTCTGCTCTCATTGGAACTAAAAAAAAAATGAATTTTGTAAATATATTCCACTCCCAGTGTTCCCTGATAGATGAAAATGAAAATTTATATTAAAATACACATGAAAATAGCAGCTCACAGATTCCAAGGATTTAAACCACATGCTTAAATTTCACTGGAGGAATGACATGAAAGTCATGTATGCTCTTATACCAAGATGCTGATAAAGGATTCTTGTTCCTGTAGTTCAGCTACTCAGTATAGGCGAGGATGCTGTGGCAAACTGATACTTGATCTTGAGTGCTGAGTATTGTATTCTTCTAGTCATGGTTCACCCATTTAATATTTCAGACCTATGAATTTGTTGCTGCATTCCATGAAATTCTATGGGAAGCTACTGTTGTAAGGGGATCTCTAATGATATTTGTTTTCATGTTTAGTTTATCCCTCTCTTGAATCGGATGAAGATAATCCAGTGTTCAAATCTAGATCAAAAAAAAGGAAAAGTTCAGATGATGCACCATATAGCCCAACAGGTAACATTTCCAATATTTAAAAGCATGACATACAGTACACAGAAAACCACAATAAATTTCATTTAGTTCTTCATTACAAGATTTCACTGATAATGCTTAGGTACATTTCAGTATCTGCTTGGGGTAGAAAACATCTTGTTCTTGTTTGCATATCCTGGCAAGGGATCTTTACTTTCTCTTGTCCTGGTTAACCCATGTGTTACAATAGACTTTCCTGATGAAGGCAAGGTTCCTCGGCATCACTTTTCTCTTGATTGGATTCAGAAATGCTACCTCTGATTATACCAAGAATGGGAAAACTTTGGGATTCCAGACATTTTGAATACAAATCCCATCAGCCGAACACAGATTTACTCAAAATGTCTGGAATCCCAAAGATTCCCCAACCTTGGTATAATCAGAGGTAGTATTTTGGAGTAGCTTTGCAAAGATCTTAGAGCATTACTAGACATGGGAAACAATTGTTTTTTGGACTATAATTCCAAGAATCCCATGGCTAAGATTCTGTGAGACATATAAGAAACAAACATTCCCCATGTATACATCTCATAAATGAGATTGGGTTTTTTCTGAATATGGATTTTTTTAAAAAAAGTTGCCTGGGCTTTAGATTTGGGACATTCCACACGTATTTTGTAGCCTTTTCTATTTCCTTGGGACTTAACTGTTCAACTGTAGAATCATGCTGGCAGTTGTTTTTAATTTATCCAGAAACAGGTGCAGAAGGACAACATTTGGATCAAATATGTGGAATGCTGTCTTCTTTCCACCTCCAGTTATCACTTGTGTATCACAGTTACATTAAGGGCAGGGACCATCTCATTGTTAATCTGTGTAAACTGCTCCGTGAGCCTTAATTTAGTCAAAGAATAAGGTTAAAATACTTAAAGTAAATAAATAGAGAAACAGACTTCCGCCCAGCCCCAAAGTATTTCCCAATGATGTCTGGATCAGAGATCTCATTAGCTGTAGCCAGCATAATCAGTGGTGAGAGGCTATGGGATTGTAGTCCATCAGCATCTGGAGTGTGTACACATTCCTAATCCCTGTTCTGAAGGTTGCTACCTTCATTTACCCAAGTCATAGTCCCACCCAATGAGGATGACCGTATTGAACTTTTGCTTAGCTGAAAGCCCCACCAGTGCAGGTTTGTGCTGCTTGTAAGCCTGTGTTACCATTGCTTCAGCAGAGGGAGATTACTGCTTATTCAATAGCAGTGTTTAAAGCAAGGGATGCAGTCTTGCACCGCTAAGCTGGCAGGACTTTCCACTCAGTGGAAACTTGATAGGGTACCGGTCAACAGCAATAAGTTCATTAACACCCATTGACTTCAGGTTTCAGCATGCTTGATGCTGTGTTGACTGTACAGATGTACATCTATACCTTCACACTGCCTTCTTTATAATATTTGCCTTCTACTTTTAGCAAGAGTTGGTCCATCAGTACCTCGGCAAGACAGACCTGTCCGAGAAGGTACAAGAGTCGCCTCAATTGAAACTGGACTGGCGGCAGCGGCTGCCAAGTTATCCCAGCAGGTGAGCTGACCAAGCAAAACTTTCCCCATTAGAAAATGCTGTTTTCCAGACCCTTTGTCCTGCCCACTTTGTGTGTGTTGTTGATACTAATCGCACAAGGTTTTTTTTGGTGATAATAAGGAATGACCGTATTCTGAACATCTGCAAGTTCTAAGCAAAAAACAGTTGCTTGCTAGGAATGACTTTCTTAAGCAGCTTTTAATTTTAAAAAATTAGGAATTTCAGCATGACATTTCCAAGGAAAGGACATTTTGGCCAAGTTCCAATGGGTAGTCCCAGCTAGACTAGACCTGTTGACCCAATGGCTGAAAGTTAAGTCAACACCTCTGCAAACACCACTGACTTAATGGGTCTACTCTAGATGGAGCCAACAACTGGATTTAGGCCTTTGTAACTGATTTCATGGGATAAAAATTTCTCATACTAAAAAAGGAAACAGGTAGATTGTTATGGATCCTGTTCAAATCATGTTCATAGGAAAGTTAGTAACTTTTGAGGCCAGGTGAAAACATCTTTTTTGCAGTGTGGAATAACAAAGTGGTGCCCCGTAGACCTTCCATGTACAGAATGCTGTTAGGCTGGGTACTTCAGTTTCACTTCAACAGTGGCCTTGGGACACTGTTCTCCAGTACAAATGTCCTAAGGGTCTTAGAACAACTTCTGCAGCAAAGATGAGCCTTTGAACTGTCTAGGAGTAATAGTCAAGAGGCTGTCACTGTTGCTCCTCAACATCTGCCGACTGAGACAGTAGCCTGAGACAGTTGCCACAACAATATGGCAAATATATGCTTTGCACCCTTCTTGGAAAGTAGTTCAAAGGCTCAAGGATGCATGTTGTACCTCTCAGCTAGCAGTCTTTGCCCCTTATCCCGGAATAAATACATGAGACCAAAATATGGGTTTAAACATGGGCCACACTGTATTGAAATATCATCATTGTTGCGAATCATTTGGCAAAGGGGGGGGTCCTGCCGTAGTGCGGATTCAGGTTTCAAACTTGGGTCTAAAAGGACCCTTCTAAACAACCAATGTGCTAAACCCTGGCCTCTTGAAGACAGTGGGAAAATCTGCCAGCCCAAATTTGAGCACCCTGGATCTTGTGCCACTCTCTCTGTTCTGACTGATGGTCTGGGTGTGTCCCCAATGTATCTTCCCCCCCCCAACACTGTAATCACATGATCCGCAGTGCTGTGAGTTCAGATGAGCTATAATTACATTATTACGCTGGGAGTTCAGATGAGCTATAATTATGTTATTATGATTTGACTTCACACTTCAAATACCTGCTTAATCCACACTAACTGCCACAGCATCGGGACTAGCCATGCTAAGTCCCATGCCTGACATCAAGCTGATCCAGCTCTAAAAGAAGGTCCCCCTTGTTGTCTTCCAAGAAGACATCCAAACCTCATTCAGAAAGATGCACGCCATCTGACCGAAAAAAGTCTGGCCTATCCAAGTGGATCCTGTGGTGGCTAACCACAGATCCTCGGTCTCTGCAAACAGCACTGTAGACTTCTCTGTTAAGATTCCGTCCGGCCGTGTTTACGGGTAAAAAATTGTCACCCATCCCTCCAAAACAGACGAGGGACGATTGTCGCCCAAACGATACGCATGCCAGGTGCCTGTCAACCAAGTGAGGTCATGGATCATATCAAGGATCAGGGACTTTCCAGGGTACAGTGCCAAATTGTTGCCACCCAGGTATATCACCAACACTTCCGGCGGGTGTCGTCCAAAGGCAGCCACTCGACAGAGCTGATCCCACAGCATGCCGCGGCGCCCCCTCCACTCAACGTTGGAACCATGGGTCAAGGCTGAGATTGCTCCCCCATGGGGATGCAGCGGCGTATCTAGCTGCCCAAAAAACATAACTATGGCCCACGATCACGATGTGTCTCCGTCTGGCTGCCAACGGGGCACCTGCAAGATATAAACACAATAGCCCCCTGCCTACATGTTAGAGAGTGCCCTAACAGATCTGCTATAAGAGGATGATGCCCATCATCCTAGCTGCCTAATATCCTCCGGGCGGTAGCCGAGTGCTGTCGCTGTGGAGGCCGCACCTATTCTGAATGAGTGCATGCCAAATCGTAGACCTTGGACTGCTTCCTTTTGAAGTGCCAGATCTGTTAACTTCCAGAACTGGTACCTCGTCAAGGGGGATTCGTCACTGCATGAAAAGGTAACCTGAGCCTGTACCCCTGATCTCCAGATACACTAACATGGCCTTGACTGGGAAAATGAACTTAATATAGCATTGAGTTAGTTTTACTACCACTCCTTTACCCCATTGGTTGGCCTTAGAATGACGTATGTGGAGCTGCACCATCTTATCCTTTATCTTAACATCAGTAAAGTGTAACGCTGCCCTAGATGTGTCCCCTTTTCCTGAGGCCACTGCTTTGCTAATCCGCAGGGCAGCAAAGAATGTTAATAGTGATGCTGCCTGAAATAAACAGAACTTGAACTCGTCGCTACAAACCTCCCATTGCCTACATATATCCTTCAAAAGCTCAGGTGATATTGGAGCTCTTGTATCCTTCACCCTACCTCTTTCTTTTGACCGGCCTTCAATCATTTTCTGTATACAGAAATCTGATGAATGGTCTGGAAAGCACCTAATTTTTGCATAAAAAGCTAATGCATACAACTTGCCTTGAATAGTTCCTGGTGCCAAGCTGTGTCTATTCAAGTGTAGTATAAACTGTTGCAGATGTTCGACAGGAACTGTCCAGGCCTGCTCCAAGCTCAGTAATTCTCTAAATTTTTGGAACTCGCTACTCACTGCAGAGTACCCTTTCCTTGTCCTTGGTGCAAGGGCCATACCTATCGCCCTCTCTGCATCCTCATGCCAATTAGCCAAACCTCCAGGGGAAGAATCTCTGGAAACTGCCTGGCCCCTGGATTTAGCTCCCTGAACCGTTGAATCTATTGTTGATTCTGCTAACGCTGGATCTAGCTCCCTGAACCATTGAATCTATTGTTGATTCTGCGAACTCATCTGCTAACGCATCTGCTAAGATTCTGCTAAGGCATCTGCTAAGCTGTTGTCCACACCAGGTACATGCCAGGCCTGTATTAATATATTAAACTTTAGTGCCTACAGCGTAAATGCCCTAACCAAAGCCATGACCCTCTCTGAATGGGATATAAGACTATTAACAATGCGGACCACTGCCTGGTTATCGCACCAGAAGTGTACCACAGAATTAGACCATTCGTCTACCCAGATCACAATGCTCCTACTATAGGAAAAAACTCTAAAAATGTCAAATCCCTCGTGATACCTGCCTGATGCCATTCATCTGACCACATGCCTGCATACCATCGGCCACTATAGTAAATCCCAAAACCAGTGGAGCCTGCAGCATCCGATTGGACCTGAAGCTCTGGTTTAAGCAGCCTCTGGCTTCTCCAAAAGGATATGCCATTGTACTGGTCTAAAAACTCTATCCAGACTTCTAAATCCTCCCTGATACCAACTGTGACCCTTGCTCTGTGGAATGGACAGACGATGCAACCCTCTCATAGCCTTCCAAAGCTGACGCAAAAAGGCTCGGCCCAGTGCTTATACTCTGCATGCGAATTTCAGATGACCCACTAACTCTTGCATCTCGCGTAATGTCAATTTTTTCTTGTGTCACAGCAAGGTTGCCCTACTCTTCAGATCATCCAATTTTTCCTGTGGGAGCCTAGATGTCTGATGAATTGTATCCAATTCAGTTCCCAAGAATGTCAGGGTCAAGGCTGACCCTTCAGTATTTTCCTCAGTTAACAGGAGGCCTAACTTGTCAGCTATTGCCCAGAAAACCTCTAGTATAAATTTGCACCTTCCAGTGTTTCGTTCCCCACAAAAAAGATACGGTTGTACTATTGCTGCCAACTATTGTTCTGAGCTTCTATTCAACAAAGGAACTAAAGCACTCGAAAGCTGCTCACAAAATAGAACAGTCCATAGGTAACGCCCTATCTATATAAAAGGAACCCTGAAATTGGAATCCTAACAAATCAAAGCCTAATGGATTAACTGGTAAAATCCTAAATGCAGACTTAATGTCACATTTAGCCATCTCTGGCCCCACTCCGCATTGGCGGACCATACTTACTGCTTCATCAAAGGACATATAACGGACTGTACATAACTCCTGAGGGATGGCATTGTTAACCGAGCCGCCTTCAGGAAAGAACAAGTGCTGGATTAATCTAAATTCCTCTGGTGCTTTCTTTGGAACAATTCCTAGGGGTGATACCCTCAATGTATCTAGGGGAGGCATTGTGAACAGTCCCAACAGTCTCTCCTCACACACCTCCTTATCGATTTTCTTCTGTACAACCCTTTCCATAATGTGTTTGGATTTCAGGCTTTGTGCAAAAATGCCTTTCTTTCTCTTACTGCTGGTATCCTAAAACCTTCCTTGAAACCTGCTAGTAAGTACTTGGCATCTTCCTTCCTGGGGTAGTCTCGCAGCCACGTTTCAAGGACTGCCACTTTAATTGGGCTGAGCCCCTTTACCCAAATTAGCGCCTCCACTGTTGGGTTTCTTTGCACCACTTGGGCCTTTTGGCTGCCTTGATGTGCCTGCTCTAAAGCATGTGGTACTGGGGTGCAGCCCACTGCCCACAGTGTATTCATGCTTGAATCTACACTGTTTTTTTAGTGCACACTCCCATTGAATTATACTCCCAACACACGCATTTAAAGCAGTGTGTAGTTTAGCCCCTGATTTACTTACTTTCTTGCATTTTTCCCCCACCATGTACTTTTTAAGAGATGTAATATGAGGTGTTATATACCTTCTATAGAAGCTAATGGATGGTGTTTTCTTTGGGAAAGGAGGAGCAAAAGGGCAAGAAGAAAAAGAACACCAAAAAGAAATTGTCCCCCAACAACACAAACAAACTCCCACCGGAAGGCAGCTCTCCTGAACCCAAGCTGGAGCCTCACAGCACGAGTTTAGCTGACCATGAGTATACAGCTGGCGCAAGCACATTTGGGGTGGCCCAAGTAAACCGAGGATCTCAGCCCATGGCTCCAGGAGTTTTCCTGACACAGCGGAGGCCCTCAGCATCATCACAGAATAACGCAGCTGCCAAAGGTAACGTTTGATGGGCTGAGATCGAAAATGGCAAAGATATCTTTTGCTGACAGCATCATTTATTTCGGAGCGCAAAATGGTGCTGTCCATTTTACTTTTAAGGTTGTTTCTTCACTCTTTTGTTACAAGGTTTCTATATTTTGTTGACATCACACTTACCACTGGTAAATCAAACACTGGGCACCTTTTTCTGTGGAACCGATTAGAGAGAGAACAGTAAGAAGCAACAGCTTCTTGTGCTGCAGCCATTTTGATTTAGGCCATGTAGGCTGACCAGTGACTGTGACTTCATGGGTGTGGTCAGTCCACTCTGGGTTTGAGTCCAAGCTTCACAGCTGTCCAAAGTGCTGAGCCCTGTCCCTGAGACGCATTCAGCACCTTGAACAGCTCCCTGAAATTTTAGACTGAAACCTGAAATGGACATCAATAAAGAAAAAGGAACAGGCTGTACGGACAAAGAACACTCCCTAGCATGGCATAAAGAGATGGCAGCTACGAGCAAAGTTAATATGTGGTTCCCAAAGACTCGTTCCTTCAAGTTGTTTTCTGAATTTTTGGTGTTCTAAATTGTTAAGACATTATCTGTTACAGGCCAGCATAATATAGATTATTATGCAATTGGTACTGCCTGATAACAGAAGAAGAAAGGAGAGAGTTGCTTTGTTGCCATGCTGTTTCTCGTGACCGGAAATGCATGTGTCAGTGACAGAGTCTAGTATCATTGGATGGGGCTTTTGGAACATAAAAATCCCTTAACACTATTTGTACCATGAATTTTCTCTCAGATCTGGGCTCTATTTATTGAATAAGAAGCTGAATTCAGATTTCTGAAGACAGTCCTTGACGGTCTCCAATGGCTCCTTTGTACATGCCGGAAACTCCCAAATGCTGCATTTTTATGCAAAAAAAGCTGAATTCAGATTTCTGAAGACAGTCCTTGACAGGAAACTCCCAAATGCTGCATTGAGAGAGAGAGAGAGAGAGAGAGAGAGAATTAAGAGTTGTACAATGCTTAGGCATTCAGAGTCATGATGACTTGGGAATGCCACGTTTAAATGCCCCCTCACCCAGGAATTTATCAGGTAGCCTTTGACAAACAACTGTTCTCAACCTCAGTCATATCAATAGATGAGAAGAGAGGATTCAATCAATGTATTGCATAAAACTACACACTTAAGCAGGTCTTTGTTTATTGTTTTTGCATTGCTGTATGCATTCCATACACAGAGAGCCTACAAAGAAGGCGATTAATTCTTTGCCTAGGCATGGAAGTGCAGTAGGTTCTTCTACAAACAGATCCTCACCCCTCTTGGTCACAGATTTCTAGTTTCTTCTTCCCGTATGTGATTTTTATGGTTTAATGCATCCCTTTTCTCCTGCTTCTAGGAAAACGTACAAAAAAAGGCATGGCCACAGCTAAGCAAAGGCTTGGGAAGATTTTAAAAATTCATCGGAATGGGAAGCTTCTCCTTTAAAACCTGGCGGCAGCAGAGACTATATTAAAAGTTCAGAATGTCCTGAGCTGACATACTAACTCTTCAACTCTTGAAGGACTACAGGAATATTGTGCAACATCTTAGGGACAATACCAGTTAACTTTTTGCCACCACTTTAATAAATTCTTTTTAACTTTCAGCAGTTAAACATGTACAGAATACTGCTATAAATATTTTTTAATAGAGATGTCCTTTCTCAAATTGCTGAGAGTGACGAGTTCGCAAGAAGTTACTACGCTGAGGCGCTGAGGATCATTCCAGTTTTAGGAAAGTATCCCTCCCTTTAACTTGTTTATAAGTGAAGAAAAAAAAAGCAGTCATTTTTAACAGGATGCAGATGAATTTCAGTTATGCTTCATTAATCAAAACTTTGACAATTTTAAAGAGGTATCTGGTCAAATGGCAAAAGATCGGTTTTTAAAATTTGCTCAGATTCACTTGCAAAGGAGAAGTAATGTCTGCCGTTTCTATGTGTGGTGATAATACATGCCAGAAAGAATATAAGTAATGAAATAGTTTTCTTTACTCAGCTCATGACAAATATGTTTTGTTCAGTAGAAGAGTTGAAATTGCACTTCAACACTACTAGATCCTTCTCTATAACCAGACCTTGGATAACCATGGGTGAATTAGTTTATTTTATGTGCAATGCAAGGTGACTTCTAGCACATATGGATCACAAATAATATACAATAAGTGGATATAGTGTTTCAAAAAACAGTGGAAATTTTCCTATTAATATCAGGAGATGCTGCATTATAACTATATCCACTGAGAAATTTCTAACTCTCCCACCATTTTCTTTCCTATACAAGGTTATTTTTTCTTTTAGCACTAATTAGCATGTGGTCTAGTCTTATCGTCTCTGTTTTCATCACTGCAAGTCAATGGGCTGTAGGAGTTGCTTCGTCAGAACTTTAAAAAAAACACCACTAAAATCTCACAAATAGGTGTGGACAACCAGGAAACTGCTTACTGCAATGCCAGATATAACAAAACAGTGAATGTCTTTGGGGCTTGTTTACATGGCCATGGAAAGTGGAGGAATATTATGACTAATTTTTCCTTCTAGACAGTTCAGGGTTGATATTTCAGGATGATTTACGTCCACTCACCAGAGGCGGGAATTCCCTGTCTTGGGGCTGATTCTTGTGCTAACTTTGTGGCAAGATGGCTGCTTCTGCTTGGATTTCCCAAGTGCCCTGTGTGTAAAAATAAACTTGATGTGGTTGAAGCAGAAGGTCCTGTTTCTTCTAAAGACAGTTGTACTACAGGCAGACACTGCCCTTGGCATGCAAGGTCACCCCATCATCTGCCATCTCCCCACAGTCTCCTCACCTCATTTATTCTCTGTGTACTTATGTGGGACCCAGTTGGGTGGATACGGCAGGCAAGCCACAAAAGTATTATGTGCAGTCCTTTGTACATTTCCTGAGAGACACATTCTGTTGAGTTCAGTGGCCCATAAGTGAAGACAGGGATGAAATTTCAGCTGAATGTTTTTGTCCTTTGGGGGAATTACCCCTTTGGGTCACTGTCATCTCACAGTGATGTCCAACAGTTCACACACAGCTTCACATGACTACACTCAATTATTTATGTCATCTTTGAAATGAATCAAAGATTTAATAACTAATTAAGCAGGATCTCTTCCTTCTAGAGTTTGGAAAGTTACTTTTTAAGAGTAATTAGTTGTGTAATTCATTGCAAAGCACCTAAAAGAGTAGACCTTTGGTCTAGATGGGCAGGGTAGAAGTCTAATAAAATGAATAAAAAATAAAAGTAATTCACTTCCACTAACTTTGCAGAAGCATTTCACCCTTGTTTTTAGTTGCTTTTAAGTCCCTTATTTTTGGTATCCAAAAGAAAGAAAATGGCCTGAATTTTTAACAAATTCCCTCAAATGGCCCAAGAAAGCATTTTTACCACTAGAAGAATAGAAACAAAACCAGTTGGTGTATCTTCAGTAAAAGGAAGGGAGAAAAGTAACAATGCTATATGAAAAAAAAAGTAATGCAAGTTAATGCCTTCTCTGGTCATTTGGGAGGAAGGAAAAAATGGCTATATCCTGGCTGCCCCCTAAAATGAGACATTGTGGATAATGTTGCTTTGTTAATTTGTGGGCTTTCTTTGTCCATCATTTTCTGTTTGCTGCAGCCTTGATTCATCCCTAGATCATACACACAGATCAGAGAGATTCATGAACTAGAAAGTTCTCTCAGGACAACCAAAAAATGTAAGCAGGCACTAATCTTCTACCCCATCGCCAAACCCTGTTTCAGCTTCCAGTTGTGGGAAGATCAACAGGTAGCAAGAAAAAAAAAACATCAAGTGACTGTGTACCATGGACACAAACTATATTTTGGTTTTAATGCCTGTACATCCAATCAATAATGGGAACATAATGGATCAGAAGTTTATATATGCCTAGATACCAGTGAGGTGGGAAGACTGTGAGGCCTTGTCAGTGATGCACCTAAGGCTTCTGACATGCATATGAAAGCACTTCCTGTTGGAATTTTTGGTCTGAAGGAAAGAGGTTGCTATGTGAACCCAGGTGTCCAGTAAGACAAGAGTCAAGCTTATTTAAAGTTTAACTGGATACTTTTAGTTTGTTTTTTAAAACTTAGTGTCTGGTGCAGAGTGCATTATTTTACATTAAACTTGTTTGTCTGCATATAAACACTTGAGGAGTCAAACTTTGTTTCTCAGGCAATTCCAGGTTTTCATTTATAGATACATTTCCTAAAACATATTTTTTCATAGAATGTAGCCTGTAAATAGCTTTTTAATATACCTTCTTTTTATAAGAGCAAATTATCTTTAGGCGTTTCTTTCTATAGAATACTTCATTAACCTTTATAATACAAATTTTTTGCTGAGTATTATCAATGGTTGTATTTTAGGTTCTTTAAGAGAGAAATTTTTGTCCTTGTTTTTATTTTGTTTTCCTCCCCCCCCCTTTTTTTTAAATGTTGGCATTGCCTGAAAAACAATAAAAACTTTGTGCAGCCTTACTACAGAATCAAATATTAGTACAAAAATGATCTATTTAAGACATATATGGAGAAGAATCTTCAACTTTATAATACCAGCTCCTTGTTTCAATTCTTGTATTATGAGGGGATACAATTATTTTATTAGCACCTTGTGAAGTGTTTCTGTGTTTTGTGATGATGTAATTTATTAATGTTTGTAGCTTTTTATATTTGTACATTTCTTATGAGCTTTGTTTATATACACATTACCTGGATGTGATGTCCATGAGGAAAAAAAAAACAGCTACAGAAAACAACTGAGGCCTTATTAACTAACCTTTCTACAGATATGGTGGGAGAATTGGGTCTGAATTCTAAGCATAAAAATGTTAGTTGAATAGGGCCCCAGGGTTATGCCGAGCAGGTTTTTTTAAGCTTCCCTAGTATCTTGTTCTTGTCAAGCCTTTATATAATATAACACAGACATCATGCTGGTTTTATTATTATTATTATTATTGTTATTATGATTATTATTATTATTATTTTCGCAACATGTACATTTCTAACAAAGTTTATTGTGGCTATCTATTACAGTGTTTTATTTACCAATCCATATCAAATGCTCTTGTATCAAGTCCATGAAATCTAAGTAAACTTAGATGAAAATTTTAAAAGTAAAATATTTCAGGTTTTGTATAGAATGGGTGTTGGCTTCTTTATTTTCAAACTGAATCAAACTGTGTACAAAGGAACAGACAGTGCTGTTTTACTTAGAAGCCATTTTGTGTTACAGCACTCTGGGCTGTGAGAGGAAACTTCATCCCAGTTTTGAATGGGAGTGAATAAGAAGGGATTGAATCTGATTGCTACGTCTGAGATTAAGAGCTGAAAAAATGTTGTTTGTCTACTATGTATTACAAATTTCTCTCACACAAAGCAGACCTTCTTGCCACATACATGGCAGGCTGGAACATTTTAAAAGCATGAGAACACATATGATATCAGCTTGTTGTTGTTGTTGTTTAGTCGTTAAGTCATGTCCGACTCATTATGACCCCATGAGCCAGAGCACCCCAGGCCCTCCTGTCTTCCACTGCCTCCTGGAGTTGGGTCAAATTCAAGTTGGTAGCTTCGATGACACTGTCCAACCATCTCGTCCTCTGTCGTCCCCTTCTCCTCTTGCCCTCGCACTTTCGCAACATCAGGATCTTTTCCAGGGAGTCTTCTCTTCTCATGAGATGGCCAAAGTATTGGAGCTTCAGCTTGAGGATCTGTCCTTCCAGTGAGCACTCAGGGTTGATTTCCTTCAGAATGGATAGGTTTGTTCTCTTTACAGTCCAGGGGACTCTCAAGAGTTGCCTCCAGCACATTGATTCTTTGGTGTCAGCCTTCTTTATGATCCAGCTCTCCTTCCATACATTGCTACTGGAAAAACCATAGCCTTGACTATACGGACCTTTGTCGGCAAGGTGATGTCTCTGCTTTTTAAGATGCTGTCTAGGTTTGTCATC